TACAGTTCTAGACAAAATGCAATTATATATATTTTTTCGCTATTCATTGGTAAGCTCTAATTAAATGGTTAATATGCAAGAAAGATGTAATTTTTTCAATATAGATCATGGAGTGTGACAAAATAGTGTCAGAGCAATAATTATTGAAAGAATTGAAATATAACTGGAGCTTATGACTAACACATATGAAATTTGTAGAAATCAAAATCATTGAAAATAAAAGTAAGAGATTAGTTACTTACATCGAATAGAATAAATCTGTAATAGGAATGACTAACACATATGATCCAAATGTTTTTCTCTCTCCTCTATCTTCTTTCTCTCTTTTAATTTCTTCATGGACAATTAATCAGGTGAGGGAGTTGATGGGGTGAGACAGGAATATTTATAAATATAGATATCTAATATCGTTCAGTACATTGAAATTTTATCACTTAGCTGATACAAATGATTTTCCCTTTCATGACAATTAGGACGTAAGCTTGTGGGTGTCCTTTAGAAGCCTCTTTGTACTTTAGAAGCCTCTTCCTCCTAAAATTCACCTCACTCAATTAGGTGAATTTCATCAAGTCCTATGATAAATCCTTAGACAAGTTTGATTTATCCTCTTAAAACAAGCTCTTATCAAAACACTGAAAGAACTCTAAAAGAAATGTCTAAAACATTTATAGTTTTTTTTTTATTCAAATATGTATCATTCCATCTCAAAGGTGGAGTGTTCACATATCTGGATTTTGGGATTCCCTGAACGACAGAGTTACCTCGAAGCAAATAGGGTTCGTTCCATGGGTTATTCAAAACCATCTAAAAATATGAAATGTTCTAAAAATCAATGTTGTGAAAAGTGGAATAGACATCAAATCGAAAAAAAGAGATATTCAAGGTTCAATGGCTCGACCGATGTTGAAGTGGATGATGTAATAAATATTAAGATCATTTAAATAAAAATGAATCAACACTACCGTTGCCAGGTCTCAAGTCCTGAATGAGAAAAGTGGGGGGTTGTGTTAGGTAGTCGACAGCCAGTGTAAAATTTGTCGAATAATAATGACATGAATCTTTTAAAAAATTGTGTTAATGCTAGGGCGTCCCCTAGAAGCGACGCGCTGTATGGCCTGAATACAGTGACAAGTGTGCAAGGGCCGCTGCACTAGCGCCCGGGTGTAGTGTTAAATAGGCAAGGGTTCCCACATCAATGACGGATTTGGGCACAGAAGCTAGTCCATGAAATTAAAATTAGGATAGTAACTTGGAAAATAGGTTTTCCTTACAGGAAAATTAATAGAATTAATAGATATTATGATTCATAGGAAGATAAATATTTTGTGCATTCAGGAAACTAAATTGGTTGGAGAGAAGGCTAAGGAAATTGATAGTTTAGGATTTAAACTTTGGTATTCAGGTATGAGTCGTAGTTGAAATGGTGTAGGTGTTATTATAGATAAGAGTTTGAAGGATAATGTAATAAAAATTAATAGGATTGTAGATAAAATTATAGCTTTAAAGATTATTGTTGATGATAAAATTGTTAATATTATAAGTACTTATGCTTCTCAAGTAGGTTTGAATATGAGTTTTAAATTAAATTTTTGAAATGACTTAGAAAATTATTACAAAAGATACCTCTAGAAGAAAGATTTTTTATTGAAAGAGATTTAAATGGACATGTTGGTAGAGAGGTAGATGATTTTAAAAACATTCATGGTGGCTATGGTTTTGGAACAATAAATGAAGGCGGCAAGACCATATTAGATTTTTATTTAGCTTATGATTTTTCAATTGCTAATACCTTATTTAAGAAAAGAAATGAGTATCTCATCACTTATAAAAATGGATATAGTACAATCCAGATTGACTATTTTCTTATAAAAAAAATTAGATTGTTTAGATTGCAAAGATTGTAAAATTATTTCGAGTGAAAATTTATGTACCCAACATCGATTATTAGTTTTGGACTTTAAGATAAAATGACAGATAATAAAAATAAAGTAAAACGATATTCTAGGAATAGATGGATTCATTTAAAAAATCTTAACAAAAATATTTTTGAGAGTAAGATTTTAGATCTTAAGATTTTATCTGTGTATAAGGATGCTAATGTTATGTGAGAAAAAGTGACTAGTGAAAAGCTCATAATAGTAAAAATAGTTGGTGGTATAATTCAAATGTGCAAGAAAAGATTAAGAATAAGAAGATTTGTTATAAAAATTTGTTTAATTTTAAAAATTCTGATAATTGGGAAAGTTATAAAGAGGCTCGTAAGGAATCTAAGAAAGCAATATGCGATGCAAAGACCTTAGCTTTTAGTGATTTATATAATAGATTAGATACTAAAGAGAGAGAAAGATATATGTATAAGTTAAGCAAACAAAGAGATAGAAGTAGTAATGATTTAGTTCAAATGAAGTGTATTAAGGATGAAGAACAAAAAATACTTTTCTTAGAAGATGATATTCAACAAAGGTGGATGAGATATTTTGCTAAACTTTTTAATGAAAATTATGAAAAATAAGATTGACTATAGTGACCTTAGCACCCTAAATGAAAATAAAGATTTATGTTTTTATCGGCGTATTAGTAAAACCGAAGTTAGAGAGGTTTTAAAGAAAATGAAGGGTGGAAAAGCTATTGGACCTGATGATATTCCAATAGAGGTGTGGAAATGCTTAGGAGATGAAGGAATTTCGTGGCTTACTAAACTTTTTAATATATTTTTGAAGACTAAAAAGATGCCAGATGAGTGGAGAATGAGTGTGTTGATTCCTATTTTTAAAAATAAAGGTGATGCACAAGATTGCGTGAATTATAGAGGAATTAAGTTAATGTGTCATGCTTTAAAACTATGAGAGCGAGTTATGGAGCATATGTTGCGGCGTGATACTAATGTTTCTCAAAATCAAATTGGATTCATGCCGGGTAGGTCGACTATGGAAGCCATACATTTATTAAGAGGTTTGATGGAGAAATATAGAGAAAATAAGGAGGATCTACATATGATATTTAGTGATTTAGAAAAAGCATATGAAAAAGTTCCAAGAGAAGTGCTATGGAGAGTTTTTGAAAAGAAAGGAGTTAATAATGCTTATATTCAAATCATTAAAGATATGTATGCAGGAGCTATTACTTGTGTTCAAACACAAGGTGGTTTGACCAAGTATTTCCCTATTTCGGTTGGGTTACATCAAGGATCAGCCTTAAGCCCATATCTTTTTGCTTTAGTCATGGATGTTCTCACTAGACATTTGCAAGAGGATGTACCTTGGTGTATGCTTTTTGCTGATGATATTCTTCTTGTTGATAAGACTAGAGAGGGAGTTGAAAGTAAACTTAAATTATGGAGGTCAACATTATAGACTAAAGGTTTTCGCTTGAGTAGATCTAAAACGGAATATATAGAGTGTAATTTTAGTAGTAATAGACCTACTGAAGGGATTGTGACTTTGGGCAATCAAGTCATTAATAAGAGTACACGTTTTAGATATCTTGGATCAATTGTTCAAAGTGATGGTGAAATAGATGGGGATATTATCAACAAAATTCAAGTTGGATGGTTGAAGTGGAGGAATGCATCGGGCTTGTTATGTGATAGAAATAGAGACAGACCTAAAAAGACTTGGTTAAAAAATATTAGGAATGACCTTTCTTTATTAGATTTAAATGAGAATTTGACCTTTAATAGGACACAATGGAGAAAAAAGGATTCATGTAGCCGACCCCACATAGTGGGATAAAGGCTTGATGTTGTTGTTATTTAAATAAAAATGAATGATAAAATAAGAAAGTAATAATCATGCAATAATATAAATTTGTGATTAAAAAAGAAATTTAGTTAACCTATAAACTTGTAAGTTTAATATAAAATATTGTTAATTTATATTATATATTTTGATAAAATTTACAATTATAAATTATATGTTAAATTTAGATAATAAATTTGATTCTATAAATCATTCATGCTAGATTATTTACAATTAATAAATAGAAATACAATTAATAAAAAATAAATATTATTTACATTATTAAAAAATTAATTAAAATATATGTTTAAAAATATATAATGTATATGTTTAAATCTAAAAACTTCAACTAAGTTATTTTATCCTACGTCACTTAAAAGGTTTGCTTTTGTTTTATTTATACAGTTTTTTTGGTTTGCATGTAGTAAGAGTTTACATGGAGTGGAGGGACCATATGGGTGAGTTTTATTGGTGGGTGGTTGAAAAATAATTATTATATAATTAATACAAATTTTGAATTTTTTATCAGTGTTGTTTTAGCTTGATGGCTTTAGATTTTGAACACTCTTTTTTCTTAAGCTTAGGCCGAGTGTACTTTCTTCAACATGTGATTTTCATTGTATTCGTATGTTCAGTTTTGTATTGGCCTTCATCTAATTTATATTTGTAAGTATTAGTATAAGTAGAAAATCTGGAGATATAAAATATTATTTAGCCAAAAAACAACACCACAAATAATATTTGTGATTATCAAAATGTTAGATAGGCTTTTAGGTTCAAGGGTTTTAACATAATCAACCATGCAGGTGTGTGGTGTTGTTGTCCTGCACCCCTTCTTTCATTACATTAATTGAAATCCTAAGAGCAAATAGTCATATCTTCATTTGACTAAAGGGCACAGGCCTCACCATTTAACTCTGGTTTTGGCTATAAACTACGGCAGATTTTGAGAAAGAACGCCGTTTATGATCATTCCCCTAATTAATACTTTCAATTCACTTCTAACATGCCTATGATATGAATTTGCTGTCCATAGGAATCTCTGGAAAAATAGGTATCATATGACACATTCTAACGCCGTTTATGGTACTGCAGTCAGGCAATACTGGAGCATTCTTATGCAATTTGATGAATGATATAATTCAATACAATAGTTTGATGTATTTTATTTTATATTTAGTAGTGATTAAAGCATTCCTTTCTCTTTGGCATCATATTTGTAACTTTTCTTCTAAAATTAACAGTTGTATTAATTGTATGCAGGTTGATGCTAAAAACAACTTGCCCTTAGAATGTGTTATAAGGAGAGTATTCCAAAGTTTTCAAGGATATGAATGCATGCTGCTTTGCCCAGTTGATACGTGAGTTGTGCCTTCTATTAACTGCATTATTAGAAATATTTGTTTCCTATTAAACTTAATGTCTCTATCGCAGGCCAGTGCAGATCTTGAGGAGTACAAATTTTAATGGATGGTCAGCTGTATGTGTCCTTATGTTTTTTCTTTTATTTTATTTTTACTTACCACTTTCAGCTCTGATTCAGTTTAAATTTGGTCCCGCATACATGAATTCTCTATTGATAGTTTATTGAAGTTGATTATGATAAGCAAACATACCAATCATTACAACATTATTTTACTATAACTTAAATTATCCATGGTTCCCATGATTAGAGAAGAAAAATAAATTGTTGTTGGTTTGTTAACAATTGGTTTTTATTTACTAATAGCCTGACAGTATCCTCTTGACCATCTGTTTCTGTGTGTGCTCCGGTTTGATGGTTTTGTATGAACATACAAATCATGTGGTTCAGTTGACCAATTTTCAAAGATCCCATGATTCCTGTTATGACCAGATCCGAAAAAAACATGATTTCTACCTACCATTATGATATCTGTTTTGCAAATATTAAAAAATAATCTCCTTTAATTTCTTAGCGTTCAATCATTAAATGGTTTTTCAACGTCTCAACTCAACTGCCAATTGTTCCATCGCATGGTTTTTCAACGTCTCAACTCAACTGCCAATTGTTCCATCGCAATCTCCTACAAATTGCAATTGTTGGCTCTATTGATATCCTAGGACAAAATCACTATTATTGTCATGACCAACATCATTGTCATCATGGCAGTTGTGTGATAGGAAATGCTTATAGAAATAGAAGAACACCTTGGCTGAAATTGAATTTCAGCAATCCACCAAAAGTAAATGCTAACAAAGACGTGGAAAAACAGGAGATAAACTCTTTTTTATTGATAATAGGTGGAATAAATGTAGCAAGATATAATGGATCCTAAATTGGAAAGGAGGATTCGGCTCTCCCAATCTCTAGCCGGTGGCTTGAGCCCAAACAAACATAAGAATTCTCCAAATTTAAGCAAAACACAAGCTATCCCTAACCCTAGGTTTACTATCTTACTTGAAGCAGTAAAAAATTAGTAAATTATCCAAACAACCCCCTTAATTTGAATTTTCCGCTAATTCTCCCTTTAATTTCCTCTTCAATGCTGATGTGCCCCGCCCAATTAAATAGGCAGACGCCTATTTTGCCTATGAAGGCATAACTATTCTGCCTCAATAGGCGGTGCTTGTCTGCTGGACAGGTCTAACACTGTGCTATGTCAAACTATTTATTTCCTAGAATTTCTTGAGAGTGACTGCGAGGAAGGTAGTGAGAGTGCGAGTGCGACTGATAAGTAAGTCTTATTGATCTTAATTTTGTAATGTCATGATATTTCTAATATAATACCCTATAGAAAGATACATATAAAAAGAATTCTTTTATCATTTGATTGCTTTATTTTAATACTTTTTTGTACTTGGGTGACGATGTTAGTTAGTTTTTGCATACCAACCTTGTACATGTTGAGCCTTCAAGAAGAGTTGAGGCTTTGATCTTTCTTTCTTTGTGATGTAAGTTAGATCTTCCCAACTCAGTGGTTGTGTGATGCATTGTTTGCATGCAAAGTCACCTATGATGGGCCATGCCTTATGCCATACTCTTGGTCTTCTTGGGGATAACCTTCAAGACTCACCTAGTGAGATGATTCAGGCTTTGCCTGTGTTACGGAGCTTGTCACGTTCATGATAGAGGGAGCCACCCATCAGGGTTATTTGTTGCCATCGTTTGCCGAATTAGAGACAAGTCACACACTACTTTTACGGAGCTTATCACAAAAGAGGGGGCATACCTTATAGTGGCATGAGTTCTGCAGTCACTTATAGTGTTGGGGTACATAAGACTCGCCATCTATTGGGGACTCGTGTGCTACTCATTGCGGAGCTTATCACAAAGGGCGGAGTCAACCAACAGTGGCTGAGGCATTTTATTGTTGACGATGTGATCTCTGCTTTGCCAGGGCGATGTCGATCCTATTTGTATGGAGCAATAAATATTTTGAGAGATGAACATCGATTACCGCATGGTGGTAGGTGGCAAATTTTTTCTCATGTGTCCCTTTGATGCGTTTTTTATTTAATTAATCATTTTTTTCATTTATGGATTTTGACGCGATGTTTCATAACCTCCTACCAATAAATAGGGTGAGAGGGTGCTCTAGTAAGCTTGAGTCTGCATGTTGAGGCCATTTGTGGAGATGGTGATGTTCATCGGGTCTTCTTTCTGGGGGTGAGTTTACTAACCGATGACGAGTGTAGCTGAGATCTTTCATCAACTTTGCAATGTTTCTTCCTGTGCCATAGGGAGGAAAGAAGAAGAGAGAGGAGACGTATCTTCTTCTAATGTTAGTCTTTCACTGGGCAAAGGTGAACCAGAGTTGCAGTTTTGCGATGTAATAGGGTTACAAATAGAGGTGCACGAGGCTATGGTATTGGGATTGAAGGCACAACAAGACTGTGAATGCGGGAAATAAAGATGGAAATATATGGGGCAATTACAAGTCATAAAATAAGAAGGAAATAAAGATGAAAATATCGTCTATTTTGAGGGCATATTATGAAAGAAATGCCCAAAATTGAATGATTTATAATTTCAAATTTGGTAAAATCTTTATGATCACAAGTCTTTTTTTATTATTTCCTAAAATGATGAAAATCTATCTATAAATAATGGGATGCTTGTACCTTGCATACATTATTGATGATTAATACAACAATCGCTTTGCCTCTCTCCTCGATTTTTCTTCCCTTCTTTTTGGTTTCTCTTGCCGATCTCTCTCTAACTCTCCCATGCTTTCATTTTCTTTCTCTTTCTCTCTCAAAGAACTCATAACTAATAGGAATTCCAGTAGTCAATTTTTTTACTTTTGATTCCCATCAATCTTGCTAGCAAAATAATGACAAAAAGATGAAAATTATTAACAAACATAATGGCACGACTAAAATGATGACAGAACTAAGAAAAGTAAATATGAAGTCGTAAAAATAAAAAATAACGTAAATGACTCTATATAATTGTTGAAATATTTTAAGCCCAATGAAATAAATATACCAAAAAAAAGAGTAATGGATGAGCTGATCTCCAAGGATGCTTTACCATACCTTGCTTCATTTGCTTCGTCTCCAGGTCTTTTATTACACAGTTCTGATCATGTAGTTTTATAATGCCTTCTATACAATTGAAATATTAAAGTGCTCAGGCTCTTTTATTTTGTCATAATGAATTTCTTTTTATGATTTTGAAGGTAAATGATGATGAAGTTGAGGCTATCATTCCTTCAGCCGCATATGCGCTTGCCAAAATCCATATGCATCTTGTAGTTAGTGGGTAAAGATAACTGTTGTGGTCCAGTTTACTGCTTCAAATATTTGAATTTTCTTTTTAATAGCAAGGAAACAGTAGATCATATTTTAACAGTTTCAGTTTAGTGTATAGAGCCCTGTTTTCTTTATGCGGACTAATGATGCAGTCTATTCAGTCTTGATGTTAATTTCTTCCACTTGCAGGTTTTGCTATACTGCGAGGGGAGGTTTTTGTTATTCTGAGGAGGACATAATCGAATTTCGCACAGGCAGTATTTTTTAGAACTATTATATACAAGTGCAACAAACTATTTTTTGGGCAATTTTTATTTTAAGCTGGTTCATTATTTTGGGATTTGTTTTCTATGCATACCTTTTTAAATTATTTGTTGGTTCAGTAAATAATGTACTTTTTGATGATGCTAGCTTTATTGAAGGAAAAAAAGAAATGGGGCCTTCGTAGTATGTTTGTTGATTGTATTATAATTTTCTTTTTGAAAATCATTTTACCATCATGCAATGATTCAAACAAAATGTATGCATGGTTACGTTATTTTATCCTTCTTCATTCCAACTTAATTTCTATGCCATTCATTGCTAACCATGCTAGTTTGACCATCCTTACTTGTTTTATGAGTGAAGAAATTAATTGACAAATAATCAGTACTGTGATACTCTTTGGGTAATTTAATCACTATTTCTTGTCTCATTGCACCTCACTTAGCTGTTTTCGCACTCAATGTGCTAGCACCTTCATACTGCACCTACCTTGTCCATTCACCCCATGTTCCTTGGCTGCCATGCTCAGTTTCTTCCTTCCATGCTAAATGCACGCATGTGGGTGCTTTCATAGCCATTGATCTGCATACTTTGTTTACTCTGTTCTTCCACCTCCTATTTCTATAATTGTCTAAGTTCTTCTACTTTTCTATTCTTTCTCTCTGTGGTGTTCACCTATGGCTTCCTATACTATTTCAAATATTTCTTCTTCAATTAAACTAAACAATACTAATTAGCTCCTTTGGTGTCATGGATTTATTTCCTTATCGGATTGCATGAAATACTCAACCAGTGACAATGCAATTCTTACATGGATGCTGAATATTCTTGAACCAAATATTGCATCTACAACATTTTCCATGAAACTTTCGTTAAACTACCTATGATTATACCTAGTGGTAGGTGAGAGAACCTCCAAAGAGAGGACCCCTTGAAGGTAATAAAGTATAGTTGAAACTTAAAAGTGCCTAAAAGTGCCGGCAACATTGAGCAAAGATGTCGTTGACTCAAAATACGTGAAATGTCGATGGGGTTTGTCCTTCATTGTTGTTATTGTAGTTTGGGCTTCTTGAAGTTGGGAAACGGTCTTGTCTGAGTGATCTCGCTATAGAATATGTTGGTTGGCTACATTCTCTCCTTTGCACTCTTTGAGGTGGAGGGTTGTACTTCTTATCAATGGAGTGGCTACAAGTATGATTTGCATTGAGCGTTGAGGTGAGTTCTTTCGTTTCCTCCCTTTTCTGACAAACTTCCAAGTCAGATGGTCCTTCTAAAATACTCTCCTTCAAAATGTACCTTTGCATCTACCCTATCGCATCTTGGAACATCTTAGCAAGCTTGTCATCCATTTCTATCAAGTCACTGTGAGTGGTGTAGGTTCAGTTCTCTAGCTTCATTGACCACTTGGGGTTTTGTTGCTTTTGAAGGTGTATATGTCTTTTGTTCATTTATATCAATCTATGCTCAGCGCACTTTCGAGGATATGGAATTCAAATTTGTTCATTGATGACACACAATTTTACTAGCAGGAGATTGATGAGTTAGAGTTAGAAAATTAGGCTAGGTTTGAGCGAGTATGGAGAGTTAAGGGAGAGTTCTAGAATCTATCAGCAATTCTCAAAGCAAGTATCAAGGCAAAAAGGTCTAAAGCATACATTTTCACATTTTATTTATAGAGTTAAGAGGGCTAAAAGGAGGTCTACATGGAGACATAAAAAAATATAAGATATGACATTACTGATAAAAAATAAAATGCTAAACCTTTGGGTGCGAGAGGTGAGTCCCCTTGGATGAAAATTGGAATGAATTGAGGCTTGACTTAGCCTAGGTTGTAGCGAAGTCTTTTGAGTTATGTTCTTGTTGTTGGATCGGGGATGTTAGGATAGTTAAGTGGTGTTGACTATGGATATTTGTTATGGATGAGTGTCTCCTACTGAGTTGAGGGACCTTTGAGGTGTGTTATTCTTATAATTGAATCGGGGATGTTAGCGGTCAATGGGTGATCCTTATTGAGGTGAGTGACCTCTAGGGCTTTGAGTGGTGATGGTCATCTGTTGAGATTTGTTGAGTATGGTGATAGGTACCTATCCATAAGGATCTTCATGCTGCGAGCCCATTGGGGAATAGTGGTCGTGGATCTATGAGCTGGCACAAGCTAGCTTTCCTGAGATCACTTTCCCTTAAGGCGAGTTCCCCTCTTGGGTGATATGACTATTTCATCTCATACTCTTGGTTGGAACCTTGATGTAGAACGTACATGCAAGAATGACTAGATTAAGGAAGTTGCACGCTTAATTCTAGGAGTTACAATAATTATATCCTTTATATCGATTTTAAACGACAAGGTAAAATACAAAAAGCAGTAAAACAAGCTTAGGCTAAATTACATGCATAGGAGTTAAGATCATAAAACAATCAATTAATCTAACATTACATACATGAATGATTTTCAACGTAAATCTCTAAACTAACAATGAGATTAGGCACTATGCACGAGTCTCTCACTCAACTCTTTAGTTCTCTAAGCTTTAGCGATGAAGAGCTTGACATGAGCTTTCTGAATCAAAGTATAACCACGTTGGAGAAGTAATTTAAGAAGATAAATGAGTTGGGGGGTAGAGTTTACCCAAAGTAGAGTTATTATGCTCCGGTGTGACCGATTGTATGCTTGAGGAAGGATGGACAATGCCTTCAGATCAGGGAGCCTTCAAGATGGCGATTGGAGACTGTTTGGACATCAGGGCAGCCATAGGAAGTCTCCAAGACGGCTTAACAGCAGCTATGGACGCTGTAGACAGCAATAATGAAGGTCACGACAGCAGTTCGACACCTGGATTAGTTCTGGACAGCAACCAAATAGCCTCCAAAAAATCTGGACAGTGATTGTAACGTCCGGGAGGTCTTTGGACAGCAAGGAAGGCCTCTTGGTGGTGCAGGACAATAAGATAGGTTTGCAGTAAACCTTAGATAGCAATTAGAAAAGTCCCAAAGGGAAGAAATTTGAGGAAGAGGCTTTGGAAGGGACGGGTGGGGCTATAATTGACTCTCTCATAAATTGGAAATTAAATTTCGGGCTCAATTATGAGAGAACTAGGGTTTGAATTTTGAATTCAAACTAATGGGAGGGGAAAAGGTAATCTTTTCCTAATTGAGAGGTTTTGATTGATGTGATTAGGAGAATGAGAATTAAAGTGGAGAGAGAGGGAAAAGGGAAAGAGGGGCCAGCGGAATGGAGATGAAGGGAAGGGTTTGGAAAGGTGTTAAATGCGTGCTTAATTGGGAACCTCAAAATTAGGGAGGGGAATTTAAGTCCCATCCAATGAGAAATTAATTTGGATTTGATTTGAAAACTTTCCAAAAATTGACTTCTAATTTTGGAAAGATTTCAAAATTCAAATTTGAATTAATTAATTGACATCAAGGCTTTCCAAATGAGGTTTGGTGGAAAAAGAAAGTAATTAGGAAGATTTGAAATTTTGGAGGCAAAGGGGATTGGGGAGTTTCCAAATTAAATCGATCTTCTTTTAGGAAAGGGTTTCAAATTCAATTTAATTTGAATTTGATATTTGAGTTATTTCCAAAGTTAAGATGATCTAAATTCGGAAAGTATTCAATTCTTTCCGTAAATGAGATTAGGAAAGAAAGGAAGGAGGGGAGGGGAAAGGTAGAGCTGGCGGATGTGGCATGGGTTGTTGTGGCAGG